AACAGGTGATTGCGAAGACCATGGCCTGTATCAGACGCACCTTAGTCTCCAAAGAGATACCTTTGCTCTTCAGCACTTTGGAGAGGTCCCTAACAGCAGACTTTCAAATGTGACCTGACCTAGCCCAGAAAATGAAGAGCTAACATTTTGAAAAATGGCTAAGTCCCCTCATGATAAAACCTTGAAATGTAATTTTCCATTTACTTACTCCTGTACTGACACTTTCTCCATATCCATTTCTCATCTGTGCTGAGCTTTGGACTCAGCTCTGGGTTGGGACGTCACCTGAAAAGTTAAGGCTGAGAATGTCTGGAGACTGGAATACAGACTCCAATCATAGTTGAACTACGGTATATGGGCTCCAGTGATGGGTTTAGTATGACTGGGCTGAGGTGGTCTTTGTGATGGAGTCGACAGCCCAGGTCCGTCATCATACATTTGAGTTTATGTTATTATACAGTTCACTCCACAGGGCAATCGACTCTTTTTTTCCCAGAAATCTCTCTCTTCCATTGGATCCATTTTCTTCACCACAGATATTGTGATCAGGAAATTTTAATTTCTGAGTTATCTATAGGTATCTCTGGCTTGTGAGTTTTCTATTAGCATGCAGTGGTTTATTGTTTTTTTTTTTTCTTTTTAAATATGTTGACAAAAATGTTATTTCTGTGTTGGCAGGAACGAGATTTGTTAAAAACATTTAAAATTCCAGTGGACACTTTAATTACATACCTAATGACTCTGGAAGACCATTACCATGCTGATGTGGCCTATCACAACAACATCCATGCAGCGGACGTTGTCCAGTCGACTCATGTGCTATTATCCACACCTGCTTTGGAGGTAAATCTGAGTTTAAAGAAACCAAGCCTGCAACTTGCATTGCTGTCTCAAGCTCTATAGTGAAATGTTGGGTTCTCTAAAAGTATATTGAGTTAGAGGGGTTAATAAACAGCTGATTTTTTGATGGATATTCTCTGTGATAGTTGATTCAGGAGTCAGGGGTTCATCTGTGTATGATACTACTTCTCTGAAATGATCCAGTGGACATTTCATAGAATGTCATCTGGCTTACAGAGTTTTGGTTAATATATTTTCTTGAGATGTAGTCTGATGAACTTGTGATAAAAGTTCAAAGAATGGTTATTTTTAGAAAATATCTATAAAAATGACTATTTAAAAAATATCTATAAGCCATGCATTCATCTTTCCCCATACCATTTATTAGAATGAAACATTTCTTTAATCTTACCAAATCTTAAGAAGTTATTCCATTAAATATTTATTGTACAATTTGCTTTGCTTAAACTGCTCTGGGAAAGTATTTTCTTTTGGTTATATATTCTAGAGCTTTTTTTCCATTATAAAATGTTGTTAACGCTTTGCTGTTTGGAACAGTCACTGTGAGCTGGGAAAACTTCCATCCTCCCACTCCTTCACACAGGAGACGTTTGGCAATGTCTGCTCACAGTGTCGCAAGTGGGGAACACGGGCTGCTTGCATCTAATGGGTGACAACACCCACCAGGGTAGAGCTTCCAACGGCAAAGAATTACTCTACTCCAAAATTTCAATAGTATTAACACTAAACAGTCCTGTCCTGGTTTGGACAAACGAAAAGAAAACCATTGCCCATGTCTTATTGACTTTATAGACATTTTCAGAATATTCTTGGGCATCTTTAATATTTTTAAAACAAGTAGTTATTTTCCCTTAAAAAGATATATCAAGCACTTCATTTTATAATATTCCTTAAATTATAAATAACCAATTGGAAGAGCTTTGCTCATGAGGTATAATGAAATTAGAGAAAATATTTTCTTCTGAGATTGCACTTTAAAAGTCTGTGACTATTTCATGACCTAAAAGACTCTCTTTCAGATGTACAAGGATACTGTATTTTGAAGCTTTATTTTTTTTTCTTTCTAAATTGTAGAAATCATTTTCCCATTTGTTAGAGTTTTTATTCATATTATCATGGAATAGTAACACCATGTCTAATTATCTGATTTTCCAGGCTGTGTTTACAGATTTGGAGATTCTTGCAGCAATTTTTGCCAGTGCAATACATGACGTAGACCATCCTGGGGTCTCGAATCAATTTCTGATCAATACAAGTAAGTGCAGTTCGTGTACTTCTCTATTCATGCAAATTCCTGTTCTGTTCCTTTGCGCAGTTGCCAATGACAGAGGGACACTATACACCAGAGTGCTTCCTTTGTTATACATAGAGCCATAATCATATTTTGAGATATGTAAACATCCTATTTAAAGATAGTCTATCTTTTTTTTTTTTACATTTTGGAATTATCCTTTTCTTTTTTTCTATACTGGTTTATTTACAAAATTTGTATACATTGCTTTTCACACACCGATGTTTCCCATTTCCTTCACCACCCACCTCCACCTATAAAATTGTGCAACCCTATGATTAACTCCCCCTCCCCTGCCCATCCTTACCCCTGTGCTTACTCCCTTCTCCCCAACTTGGATCCTCATACTCATTGTACAGTAGTGGTTTGGAGGGACTGAAAAGCATTATGCTAACTGAACTAACTCAGTACCATAAGAACAAACACTGTATAAGAAAGTATATCTTTTTTTTTCTATAATTATATTTTATTAATTTTCATAAACATTTACAAAGATTTTGGGCTTCCACTCATTCATTGTTGCACTATTCTCTCTACCCTCCTCCCAGTTTGTTCTTGTCCAAATGCCACAGTGCTTGTCAAAGCCAGTTCTGATTAATCTTCTTTGTCAGTGTGTCCTTTGCCATTCCCTATCACTCCTCCCTGAGAGAGACTTCACCCTGAGTCATAAGGAAAAGGGGATGGCGTATTCTCTTAGCTACTTCCTGCTGAAAAGGGACGCTGTGGGTTTCAGGGTGAAGATCTTCTCTCACTACTTTATCTTAATGTAAGGATAGTGTGTCTTAATGTACTTCAGCTATAGAAATTATAGCCATATGACATTTGGGGAAAAATGTGTTTGAATACATCTGTGGAAATAATATATTGGCTTGCTGGTAAATTCAGAAATCTGCTAACAAAGTACACTCACTGCCATTGATTTGGAATCAATTTATAAATGGCCCTTCAGCAAGTTTTCAGAAGCCACAAATTGTATGAGAGGAGATTGCCTGTCTTTCTCCCAGGATAAGCTTGTGATTTGAACCAGGCACCTTTAAGTTGGCAGGGCAGCTCCCTACCCAGTAGGCTACCAGAGTTTTGGTAGACTAAGGTAATAAAAAATGAGTTGTGGTGGTGGTGTTCTGTGCTGTCGAGTTGCTTGCAACTCATAGCGACCCTATGTACAACAGCAACCCTATGTACAACAGCCCTAAACTCTGCTCTGTCCTGTGCCAATCTCACTGTCTCTGATACACACATCCCAATTACCCCTGTCACTGAATCAGTCCACCTCATAGAGGGTCTTCCCCTCCTGCGCTGTCCCTCCACCCTCCCAAGCATGATGTCCCTCTCCAAGGACCGGTCCCTCCTTACAACATGTCCAGAGTATGTCAAACGAAGCCCCAGAATCCTTGCCTCCAAGGAGCAGCCTGGTTTAACCCTCTTCAGGATGAATCTGTTTGTTTTCTTAGCAGTCCATGGTACACTCATTACTCTTCTCCAGCACCACTGCTCAGAGGCATCAATTCTTCTATCCTCCCTAATCATTGTCCAAATCTCTGACTCATAACAAGTCATCAGGCACACCTGTATGTATATATATATATATATATACACACACCTGTATCAGGCACACCTTAGTCTCCAGAGAGACACCATTGCTCTTCAGTACTTTGGAAAGGCCTCTAACATCAGACTTTCCCATTGTAACCTGTCTTTTACTTTCCTGGCTGCTGAGTTTACAGAAATGGTCGCAAAGAAATACACTTAATAAAAAGAAAAGAAAGACTTGGATAATTTGCTATTAAACCTTCCTCACTTTATTTAGTTTATCATTTAATCTTATGCAGATGCTGTTAATACCTTTCCTTTTCTACTACTACACCCAACTTGTGTTTCTCCTTTTCAGTCTCCCAGTTAGGGCAACAGGAATAATGCTTATAATTCATATCATTTAACAATTTGCTGGTAGAATTTCATCAAACCAAGAAGTTATCACTGTTTTTGGAAATACAAGGATTTCTAAAGACTGTTTATAAATATGGCCATATCTGTCTCACATCTATAGAGAAAATCTATAGGGACTGTTTGGGGAATGTTTGGACTATGCCTTCTTGCAAAAAGGGTTTTACAGAAATTCTATTATCTTGAAAACTCTTTCCAGAATGATAGGTTAATAGTTTAAAATCACTTTTGTGAGAAAATAATAAACTTTAGAGCTGTAGAAAATGCTTTTTAATATCAATTAAGAGCCTGCCTTTCTTTTTTGTGAAGGGCTTGTGGAAACCAGCTTATAGATATGATGATGTAAGTACTTGCATTCACCAGTTGGTTACTGTACTTTGCTGAATACTATATTAGTGACTGCACTTCACTGTTAGTTACTGTACTTTCATGGATACCATGATAGAAATATCTGCATTCTACCGTGATAGAAATACCTACATTTATTAGTTAGCTACTATACTTTGCTCCAACCAGCTTTAAAGACAGTTTAAAAGGAGCCATACTTTTAGACATGTTACTTAGAATTTTAGGACTATGTAGGCCTGTGTTTGTATCTTTCAATAGACTCTGGGATACCCTACACAAAAAGGCCCTTCAGTGAGTCACTGATGTAGAGAGAGGAGGACTGAATAGTCTTGGATTTCCCGAGCACTGCAGCTAACCAAGTACATTTTCATTTCTTCACTTAGGAACTTACTTATCCAAACTTAGACAGGATAGCATTTCATGTTTCAGAACCTAAAATGGGACACATTCAGGAATCATGGAAACGTTTGTTGTTTTGTACCGTAGAGTCAGAACTGACCCATAGCTGACCCTCCGGTGGGTTTTTAGAAGGAGATTGCCCATCCTTCTCCCGCAGAGCAGCTGGTGGCCTTGAACCATGGACCTTCAAGATTACAGAGCAGCTTCTTGCTGCTAGTCCACCAGAGCTCATCAACGCGCTACTAAATATTAATACATATTTTACTTTGCATGTGGTCAGAGTTGACTATACGTTCCGAGAAGAGGAAAGAGGTCAGACAGTACAGTGTAGGCTGGTACTTTTTATTAGATTGGCCTGATTAATGTATTAGTTTACTTCTAAAGTGTGTCTTGGTATATTTCTCGTTTCAGAAATGTTTTACCAAAGAGTCAGAAGTTTGATTTTAATTTACCTTGTCCTCTGTCATTCCCCTCTTAAAATAACATAGAAAATATAGACTGGTATGTTTTCTTTGCATCCTGTTATCGACTGTTTTGTATATTCTTTAGTATACTGTTCCTTATTATATCACTAGAATTTAGAATAGATTAGAGAACAAATGAAAATGGCTGATAATAAAGTCACCTGTGATAGGAAGCTGTGCAGCAATCCCAAAGGCACCAGCTGCTCTGCAGGAGAAGAAGGGGCAATCTCCTCCCGTTTGATTTACTGAAAACCCTCTGGAGCGGGTCAGCTGTGAGTCACTTCTGACCCTGTGACACACAATAGCAGCAACAGCTTCCAAGTATCATAATAGATTTTTAAGAATACGGAAATCTGGCTCTGCCATTTTTGCTTGTGAATTCTCTGAGGTCAATGGGCTGAGGCTGGTACAAGGAGGATTCTGATAGGTCAGCGTTATGTGAGCTAGGCTTTGGCAGACGGTTCCCACACCCTCCTAAGTGTAAGGGCCCCTGAGATAGAGAATGGCGAGATCTGCGGGACAATTACAAGTGTAGCAATCAGGGGAATATTTATATGATAAAGTCGTTGTGCTGATGACCTGCCTGAGGTGGAAGGTAACTAATTCTGCTTCTGGGAGGTCTTTATTATTTGGTGATTATATTATGAGCACATTTCTCTAGAACATTAACTACACAGGGAAGTCAGCAGTTCCAAGGGTGAATTTGCAATACTTTTTGTTGTTGTTGTTGTTGTTGAGGATGGGATATTCTAAGGTGGTGCAGTTCCTAAGAGAATGAATCGGCATCACTTGATACTTGGACGTGTCAGGGGATCTATCAAAGCTCTGGAAAATGAGCAGAATCATTGGCCTGCTTACGTTTTAACTAGGGGTCTTGCCAACATTATCTCCTGGTGTGGGAGAGGCTGAGGCGGAGGCAAAACAAAGACGTTTTCTCTTCACAGCGGGTTACAGAAGAGTCCCTCTAATAACTTGCCAGACCATAATAAATTGCTTTATTAAAGCAATAATGTACTATTAAAAGTTGATCAGTCATTTCTGGTAGTCTTCACAGTTACTTGCTATGCATAAGAGAGCTGGACAATGACTAGGGATGATAGAAGGAGAGTGGATGCCTTTGAGCTGTGGTGTTGAAGAGTATTGAATATACCATGGATGGCTAGAACAAACAGGTTTTTCCTGGAGAAGGTGAAGCCGGACTGCTCCTTGGAGGCAAGGATTCTGAAGCTTCATCTGACATACTTTGGGCATGTTGCAAGGAGGCACCAGTCCTTAGTGAGGAACATCATACTTGGAAGGGTGGAGGGACAGCACAAGAGAAGAAGATCCTTGATAGGATGGACTGATTCAGTGACTCGGTTAATGAGGATAGGCATGTCAGAGACAATAAGATTGGCAAAGAATAAAACATGTTTCAGTTCTTTTGTACATAGAGCCACAAGCGAGTAGACAGCACATAACAACAATAGTGTCAAGAAGCTGTGGTGCAATCCTGAAGGTACACAGTTTGAAGCCACTAGCTGCTCCATGGGAGTAGGATGGACATTCTCCTCCCATGCAGTTAACTGCCTCTGAAAATCCACCAGAGGGTCAACTATAGGTCTGCTCCAACTCAGTGGTACACAATACCGGCAATAGTTTACAGTAACCTTTTTAAAAATAAACGTTCCGTTTCCTTTTTCCTTCATGAATTGATTTCTGCATCAGTGACTCAAGACTTCGCACGCTCCAGGCTCTTGCCTTGGAGCTAACGCTGCTTACCTGCTCAGCACCAAGGGTGGAGTCTGTGTTAACTGTCAAGAAGAATTCTCTAAGAGTTCTAATGTTCACATGTGTAGAGCTCTCACTACCTCAGCACATGGCTCCTTCTACAGAGGATGCAGAGTCCAGAGTGGAGCTGAGGTGCTCGCTTTGCCCTTGGAGAGGAGCTTGCTTTACCCTTGCCCGGTTCAATTCTGCTGCCACTATCTAGTTGTGTTGGTGATTTTAATGAATTATTTCATTTCTGCTAGTTTTGGGTGTCAAATATTTTGGTACTGATCTGCTTATGCTCCTTGGAAGTATGCGGAGATTATGAAAGTAGAAAATGTTTGCTTCTACGTGGCAGAATGAGTTAAGCTTTTGCAAATAACTTGAGGTGTGAGGCTTCTGATTTAATATTTGGAGAAGTTGAAATGCCAGGGACTACACTGCAGAGAAATCTCATGCAAAGACAGTTCATGTAAATGAATCTGTCAAATGTAAATAGCATCATAAAGTTACAAATGTCATGTTCTCTAGAAGGTTCTTACCATTTAACTCCACATTATCTTCTGAAATGAGAAAGCCAATGTTAAATATGAAATGTTATACTTAAAAAACCCAATTCCTTCTGTTTATGGCAAAGTTGCCTGTGTTTACAGTAGAGAGAGCTACTTGCATTAGTTACATTAACAAAATGTTCTTTTGTTTTACTGTGAGTTTGTGCACTTTTAATTTTTTCTAGTATCATTTGTTAAATGTTGTTTTGTAATTGGGAGTGTGTGTGTGAGAGAGAGAAAATATGTCAACAGTTTTAATTGTACAATTCAGGGCCAGTAATTGAACTCACAATGTATAATCACCATTACCATCTACTAGGAAAATGTTCGTCTCATCAGACAGATGCTCTGTGCCCATTCAGTGTTATGTGCTATTGAGTCAACTACCACTCATAGCAACCCTGTGAACAACAGATCTAACCTTGACCTATCCCTACAACATCCTCACGACCTCTGACATTCTCTAGACCATTATTACAATCACTGCGTCAATCCATCTTATTCAGAGTCATCTTTTAGTCCTTATTTTCCTCTATCCTCACCCAACCTCTCATAAAAAAGAAAACAACCCGAAAGTCCTCATTGCAGTTGAGTCACAACTGATCCCTCCCTCCATTGGTTTTTTGAGGCTGTAAATCACCCTGGAAGAGAGTGTCCATCTTTCTTTCTCAGAGCCCTTAGTGGATGTGAATGACTAGGGAGATAGGCCTTTGAGTTCACAACAAAACTCCCACCAGTGCTCCCTCACCCAGCACCTGCCATTGTCTTGTGTGCCATTGAGCGGAAGGGACTCAGAGCTGACCCTCCCATGGGTCTTCAAAGGCTGTAAATTGCACAGGAAGAATCTTGCGCAGAAAAGCTGGTGGATTCAAACGGCCTGTCAGTTGACAACACAACTCCTTACCACCCTGCCCTTAGCAACCTCTAATCTACTTTCTGTATTTGCGTAAGTTTGCATTTCATTGGAGAGATACTGATCCATATTTCTATATTAGCAAACTGTTGAGTTTTAGGATTTAGATATAGTGAACTCACAATGTATAATCACCATTACCATCTACTTTGAAAATGTTCAATACATTGTTGTTGTTGTTGTGTACCATAGAGTCAGAACCGACCCATAGCTGACATGCTGGTTACATTTTCTGGTTACTAGTGTCTCTCCTAGCAAAATACAAGCAGTTTGAGGACTGGGGCTCAGTGTTCTTTATCGACCTATCCCTAATGCTTTGAACATTTGGCGTGTAACAGGTTCTCAGTATAATTTTGATGAAAAAAAATTAATGACTTCTGTGATTTCTATTTAACAGCATTTGATAAAAACTCATTTATTCTTCTTTTGAAGGTATTTTTTTTTACACAAATACCACCACAACAATGTAATAAAATCCTACATATAATCCATTAAGTAAGATTAGCTTTGACTAATGGTTCTGGCAAAACTTGACCATCAGTACCGCTATAACTTTTCCATCAAAGGATATTCAAGAGAGGGGAAACACAACTGACAGAAGGGGAGAAGACATCTGTAAATAACACATTTGATCATGACAATGAGGGCACTCTGGTGGCCTCCTGGCAAGAAGCTGTGCTGCCATCCCAAAGGTATGCAGTTCAAGGCCACCAGCTACTCCGCAGAAGGATGGGCAATCTCCTCCTCAGAGATTAACTGTCTCTGAAAACAGTGCCTTAAGTGCCTTAAGCACAATAAACATTCTTTTTGAGCTGTGGTGCTGGAGAAGAGTATTGAGAATACCATGGACTGCTAGGAAAACAAACAGATTTGTCCTGGAAAGGGTTAAACTGGGTGGCTCCTTGGAGGCAAGGATTCTGAGGCTCCGTCTAACATACTTTGGACATGTGAGGAGAGACCGGTCCTTAGAGAGGGATATCATGCTTGGGAGGGTGGAGGGACGGCGCAGGAGAGGAAGGCCCTCTATGAGGTGGATTGATTCAGTGACTGGGATAATTGGGATGGGAGTGTCAGAGACAGTGCGATTGGCACAGGACAGAGCAGAGTCTAGGGCTGTTGTACATAGGGTCGCTATGAGTCGCAAGCGACTCGACAGCACATAACAACAACAAACAACCTTGTAATCTTGGGACAAGAAATAGGAAGGAGGCAGGTGCTTACTGCTGAGGCTGCACAGGTCCAGGGTAGTGGTAAGAGAGAGCAGAATTGTGCACCACAGAGTTGTGTCAGCAGCTAAACACACCCACCTCTGTGAATCCACGGGTAGAAGAGTCCTGTGCATATTCTTAGCTGATTATAAATGAATACATAGCAGCTGCCAGGAGACTCAGGAAAAAAAATTAAAAATATGAATAGAGTTTTAGGGTTTAGAGTAATAAAGTAGAAGAAAACGAAGTAAAATTAACATGGATAAATTTAATATTGTGTGCATATTCCTATTGTTCTTAAGTCAAAGAATCCATAAAATCACATAATTTCTGTAGCTATAAAATATGTTAGCTAACAGAGTTATCAGGAACATGACAGTTTATGATCTAGACATGTTGCAGATGTTAAGAGTAATCTACTTTGGCGAATTTACCAAGCCACGTGAAGCAGGTTTGGAGGGAAGGTTGAAGACCATCTGGTCCACCTCTTCTTTTATTTGAGAAGATAAGAGCTAAGGTCTACAGTGACTCATCACTTGTTAGTAATGATGAGGATACCCTTCCAGGATTCCAGGGCTCTTTCTCATATGACACTATCCAGTGTATTCTCTCTTAGGTTTTGTCACTTAGGACAGCAGAGGTTTTGGGGGGAGGGAATTGCATTCATAGTCCAGAGTGTCTAAGAGCATGAAAACTAAGGATAACCTGAGCATGAACGGCTCTCTGATCTTCCACCTCCTGTCTTTCTTTCAGACTCTGAACTTGCCTTGATGTACAACGACTCCTCTGTCTTGGAGAACCACCATTTGGCTGTGGGCTTTAAGTTGCTTCAGGAAGAAAACTGTGACATTTTCCAGAATTTGACCAAAAAGCAAAGACAATCATTAAGGAAAATGGTCATTGACATTGTAAGTAGCTGATCATAACAAAAAAGGAAAACTGTGGTGCAAGTTGTTTCTATTTTCTGAGTGAAGCATCATCACCTGATGAGGAGCAGGTGAAAGGCACAGTATTTAAGAACCTGTGGTGATCCTCTGTGAGTGAGGAAGCTGTCCCAGCTGTTGCCCCTGAGGTTGTAACAGGACGCCCACTTTCAGCAGCTTGGGTTAAGACTAATGACAGCTTACCCTCATTCTTCCGGAGTTTTTTTCCCTTTTCTGAGTTCTCTTGTCTGCTGATATCAGAGAAAGATGATATACAAAAAACTGAAGAGTGACGGCAGTAGCTCAAATATATTTTTCCCCCAGCATTTTCTGTAGGTTAGCCAGTGCCTTTTAGAAATATCCATCACTTCATTCTCCTCCCTGTGTTATTATTTTGTGTTTAATATTGTGTGCATATTCCTATTGTTCTTAAGTCAAAGAATCCATAAAATCACATGATTTCTGTAGCTATAAAATATGTTAGCTAACAGAGTTATCAGCAACATGACACCTTCATTCAACACCCTGGTTATCAGAAACTTTATTCTGTACATACAAAGGTCAGAATTGTTTGCTGGGTTAGGCAGAAAATGAAACACAGTAGTCTTTCAGAAACATTCTGTAATCAACCTTGGATCTGTTCATCATAATCTAGTAACGACTTCCCTCATCCAATGCATAGAAAGAAACCTTATAAAACACAGAGTGATACCTGATGGAGAAGCCATCATTTTTTTCACTGTTCTAGGGGTTGGCGACGCCAGCCCAAAAGCAAATGGTTCGAATTCACCAGCTGCTTTGCAGGAGAAAGATGAGTAGTCTCCGCCTGTGTGATTTATAGCCTTTGAAAACCTGCTGAACAACCAGCTATGAATTTGTTCTGACTTGATGGTACATCACAGTAACAATTAATTGTCAATTCCTAATGTTTCTGTATACTATACACATTTATCTGGACTTCAGAAAACTTGAAACTGCTGCAGAATGGAATACAGAATCTTCCATACACTATTAGATGCTATGGTGGTTTTCCACTGCCCCCTCCCATTCTGCATATATTTGCTTGTAAATTCTGATTTTTCTTCCCCTTGGACTTGTTTATAATAAAATGCTCTTTGTCTTTTAAGGTACTTGCTACAGACATGTCAAAACATATGAATCTACTGGCTGACTTGAAAACAATGGTTGAAACTAAGAAAGTTACAAGCTCTGGGGTTCTTCTTCTTGATAATTACTCTGATAGGATTCAGGTAACATCTTGAGTTTGCTCTGCTCACGCATGCGTGTGTCTGTCATGCTCTTAGTCAGATGTTTTTTGTCCTACTTATACTTTTAGAAAGGCAGGGGTTTTGTACAAATTGTGATTCATGTGATTTAACCAGGTACAGTCCTGTTGATGTTTTCATTTCCCTACACTTAAAAATGGAACCACTAACACCCTCAAGACCAACCACTAAAACAGCTCTGGATTTAACCAACCATGGACATAAACAGTGTCTGTTATGCTATCCAGAAGCAGTTGAAGCGACATAATTTGGAACTATTAATACAAGTGTGAACCACACGCAGACACATCATGGTTGAGCTGTTTGGGATAAATCTTACACTGCATGTATTTTTAAGCATCACCATCATCCTATGCGAATGGCCTGTTGAAACAAGGAAGGGTGCTGAGTAGAGCATGCACTCTCCTATTCTAGGTCCTTCAGAATATGGTGCATTGTGCGGACCTGAGCAACCCGACCAAGCCGCTGCAGCTGTACCGCCAGTGGACGGACAGGATCATGGAGGAGTTCTTCCGCCAGGGAGACCGTGAGCGGGAGCGCGGCATGGAGATCAGCCCCATGTGTGACAAGCACAACGCCTCTGTGGAAAAATCACAGGTAAAGGCATCACACACAGAGCTTTCGGGAGCATGAAGCCCAGCTTTTACCTTTGGTTGCTTTGCACACACATCACACAGCAGTGGTTGTACTTTTTCAGAAAGTAACTTTATTTTTTACATGTTTTAACTTGTGCTGAGCTCTGGTGGCCTAATCTATAGGGAATTGAGCTGGTAGCCCAAAGACCACATGTCTCTGGTGGTTCGAATCCACCTGCTTGTCCTGTAGAGGGTGATGGGCAATCTTCTCCCATGCAGTTTTACAAGCCTTGAAAACCCACTGGAGGGTCAGCTATCAATCACTTGGCCTCAGTGACAGTAAAGAATTTTGGTTTTGTTGAGATCAGTTTCACGCTAGTGTTTATGATCCAAAAAGTACTTACTTCTATTCTGATGACTGTAATCCAGAGTTTATGCAGGGTCAATATAATGGTTAAGCTTGTAGATGTTTACTGAGGGGTTAGAGATTCAAATCTCTTTAGTACCTTCCTAGAAGACAGACCTGGAAGTATGTTCTGTAAAGATTCATCTCATTGACTTGGAGTCAAGATCAACACATAACTGTCTTACAGCAGGTTTTCTGAGGCTGTAAATCTCACAAAAGGAGATTGCTCCTATTTCCTTCTCAGAGCTCTTGGGTTGATTTGAACCTCCAGAGATACGACCTTCGGGCTCACAGCACAGGTCCCTGTGGGCTACACCACCAGGGTTGCTTCTGTGAAAATCACAGCCAAGAAAACACTATAGGTAGTTTTACTCTGTCACATGGGGTCATTGAGTTGAAAATGGTCTCCAAGGCTCATCAGAAGTGTCAAGAATACATAGGAGTCTCTGGCTGATAAAAACAGGTAGCACACTCCACTGTTTAATGAAAGGTTCTATGTTTGAATCCATCCAGAAGTGCTTCACGAGCAACACCTGATAATCTGTTGTTAAAATGTGACTGAAAATCCATGATCATGTGATTTTCCTCATACATACGGTCCCTGTGACTCACTATCAACAGTGACTGGAAGGAGAATGTCGTGTTATTTCAGCTGACGTTATCTAAACATTGGCTAATTAAAGTCTAGCCTTTTTATGATACCATGTGAATAACCAGCAGTTATTTTTTTTTAACTTAAATACTGGCAAATTACCTAAAGTCCAACCTTTATGCCATACCATGTAAACAACTAGCAATTTTGGTTTTTTATGTTGGAAAAATCCTCTTAAATTGAGGATTCTAGAAGCCGCTTTCAATGAGCTAGAAATAACATTTCCATTTAGGCTGCTGCCTGAAACGTGGCCGAAGTCAGGATCAGCTAAGTCTCCCATGCCCTGTTGGTCTTGGGAGCCCTGAGCTAGGTCACTTCTCCCTTTTGTCCCTCTGAGTCCCGGAGACCTTGTCTGAAGTTTTATTTCCTTTTTACCAGGTGGGCTTCATCGACTACATCGTTCATCCTCTCTGGGAGACGTGGGCCGACCTTGTCCATCCCGACGCCCAGGACATTTTGGACACTTTGGAGGACAATCGTGAGTGGTACCAGAGCACAATCCCTCAGAGCCCCTCTCCCGCACCTGACGACCAAGAGGAGGGCCGGCAGGGCCAGACGGAGAAATTCCAGTTCGAACTGACCCTCGAGGAGGATGGTGAGTCGGACACAGAAAAGGACAGTGGGAGCCAAGTGGAAGAAGACACGAGCTGCAGCGACTCCAAGACTCTTTGTACCCAAGACTCAGAGTCCACGGAGATTCCCCTCGATGAGCAGGTGGAAGAGGACGCTGTGGGGGAGGCCGAGGAGAGCCAGCCGGAAGTCTGTATAATAGAAGATCATTCTCCCGACACGTAACAGTGCAAAGACTGTCACACTCTTTTTTTTTTTCTCTCTCTCTTTCTTTTCTTTTTTTTTTTTTAAAGTAGAAAAATTGTTTCCAAAGTGCATGTCACATGCCACAACCATGGTCACACCTCACTGTCATCTGCCAGGATGTGTGTTGAACAAAACTGACCTTGACTACTCAGTCTGGCGCTCAGGAATATTGTAACCAGTTTCTTCACCTCCATGTCATCAGAACAAAGGGGGGGGGCATCTTCACGGACAGCATTTTAACATGAGCGCAGCTCAACAGGGCTGACAAAGCAGATTGAAAAAAGAAAACAAATCAACTCCGACATGCTTTGAAGGGAGCACGGCTCATCGGGCAGCCCAGAAGCTGTTATGATGTGGGGTTTGCTTTAGTTTTATGTGTTTGTGATATTTTCAGAAGAAAGACAGCATTACCACACGCACACAGAGTGAACGAGTAGGTGAATCAGCAGATGCATCAAGAATAGGACCCAGCGCTAATCTGTTACCGGGAGCAAGATGAGCCGCAGCAATTGCATACTTTTCTAATTTCAAGTCTTCCTGATACATGACTCAAGGGTGCGGTTCCACGAGCTGCACTGACCTCTACATTTTGTATGATATGTAAAACAGATTTTTTGTAGAGCTTACTTTTATTATTAAATGTATTGAGGTATTATATTTAAAAAACTATGTTCTGAACTTCATCTGCCACTGGTTATTCGCCCCCCCCCCCCCCCCCAAGGAGTAACTTGCAAGTTTTCAAGTACAAATCTGTGCTACACTGGAGAAATCTAATTTACCAATTTGACTTGCACCTTAAGTAATCTGTAGCAGTTAGCTGATTTGTAGTGATTCGTTGTTTTACATACCAATGATTCTCATGTTTTAAAAGTTTATGTTACAGGAAACCTTTTGGTTTTTTTTTCTCCCCCTTCTTTGGTAGGTCTTCATTTAGTTTGCTTTTGTTTGTTTCACTCTTTCCAGATAAGCAGGGTTGCTCTCCACTAACATATTTCTTCATAGTATACAGTGAACATTTGTTCTGTGATCCGTAGGTGTGCGTTTTGTCTAATGTGTCCCAGCCTCATGGAAACTCCACCATCAGTTGGTGTTGTCCGAAGCAAGTGGGAGATCTATAAATACCCAGTAGCTAAAATGGTCAGTCTTTTTTACATATTTTCCTATCTAGTGTCTTCTTATATAACCTTTTGCTGTGTCGATAAACCCTCATTTCACAAGTGCATGTCTTTGTAATAACCCAATGCATTTCATGCTCTTTTTTATTGTTTTTATAGTCAGAGGTAGTAAGATATCTCCCAGCCTCCCCCATTGTGCTGCTTTCTTATTTAGTGTGTGTTTGAACCTCTGTCCATGTAGATGGGGTCTTATCAAATGTATCACCACCATTCTGATTAAAGAAACACAGTGGGTAGTTAAGTTAGGGTTAGTCTTCATCTATACCTTGAGGTCATATATAATGACTAGTTTTTACTCTGGGTTTACAGAGAAAAGTTAATGGCTAGCTAGGCAAATTTTAAGAATAGGAATAGGATATGTAATGAACACCAGTGCAACTATTTCCTTTCTGTTTCTATGATTTTACCATGTGATTAAGAGCTGTATGAAAAATAGCCTTGAGAAGTCATTTTAAGTGTAGTCACTCCTCTTCCTCAGTGACCAGCCACACAGTGTGTAGGATTTGCCTTTTCAGTTGTATGTTTTCAGAAGCACATCTTGTAGAAGAAAACAATTTCTTTCAACACACTGAGGGAAAGAAGCAGATGATATTGCCAGAAGGTTCACAATACAGTGCTGCCCTAAAATTTTAGACCTGGAAGGAAGATTCTGCCTAAATGGGGGGAAAAAAAACCCAGTAATCATGAGTCCCTCCTGCACAATTTCACACACCGGGAGTCCTGTTAGATTAATTAACTAACCTGCTGATCACAACTAGCATCTGGCCTTTATCCTTCCACTTCAGCTCTTAAGTGTTCATTTCACCTCTGTGAAGAGTTTAGAATCCAGATAATAATTTTGCACGTTGATATCAAAGAACTGAGATGGAGATTAGAAGGGAATATCTGACTAAATAAATGGAAAAGAAAGAAAACAGCTAAGGGGAAAGAAAATTATAATCCTTACAAAGACTTAAGAGTTAGGATGACTCCTGGGGCCAGTAGCATCATCAAGCAGGACAGTGACTCAAGCTGAAGATCATTTCCATTGCAGACCCTTGAGAGCCACCTGATGCTTAGAACCTTTCAGAGAAAAGGGTTGACAGCGCCAGTGTTTTCTGGGGAGCAGAATAAAAATCAACAACTTAGCAGATTTCCAATTCCCACACTCCTCCTCCTCCTACAGAAACCAAGCCAACAGGACTTGTGGAAATAAAGACTCGTGTTTGGCTGTTTTCACAAGAACATTTGGGAACTTGGTTCCGTTTTAATTTTATTCCAATAGCATCCTTCAGTAGCTCAGCTGGCCGAGCAGAGGATTGTAGACAGGGTATGAGCGTCAAAGAAAATAACTCCAGATGGATGTCTAGAAAAGGACTTTGTTCCTGAAGAAAGGCACAGAGGCTGAGCATATATCTCCTTCCACAAGACTCTCATCTCCTCCGCTCCCTATCACTTGGTATTTCCCTATAGAGTGCCTACAATCTTGACTAAAAATAAAAAAAAAATTAAAAAAAGAAAAGCAGCAATATGTCACAAATCCAGGCTTGAAAGGATTTGTAAGTGCCCTAAGAAAGGTAGCCTTCTTTTCCCATGTCCCCAGTTTGCTGGTTTTCAGGACTGCAATGTTGTAAAGATCCCAACAGATGGACAAACTGTCTATGGAAAAGGCATAATATCCAGAGACAAAGACTAACGCCTGTACAACCTGCTGAGCCTTTCCTTTCTTTCTTTCCTCTCTTGCCAAAGTGTGCTTCAGAATATTAACACAGCTTTTAAAAAAATCCTTACAAGTGACTTTACGTTTCCTAGAATGCTGTTAGAAAATGGAGTATCTGGGTACTGTCTGGGGGGGGATGTCTAAGTTTGCCTAAAACCAGGATATTTCAGCTTGCAAGTTACTGAGCACAAGAATGCTCTTTTAATTTTATTTTCTTTTACATCAGTCAAAATTAAGAAAAATAATGTAGATAGAACAAATTGTAGTCAAGGAAATAAGAAAAACTTGAAATGAAAATGGATTTTACTGAAAGCTTTATCATAATTTTTGAATGCATTATTTATTTTTTTGTGCCATGCATTTATTTTTTTTCTCACCAAATGACCTTACCTGTAATACAGTCTTGTTTGTCTGTTTACAACCATGTATTTATTGTACTGTACATACTGTAATGTTAATTGTAAATTATCAGTTCTTATTAAAACATCATCCCATGGTGGGATGGTGTTGATATATTTGGACACTCTTGGTGAGCGAATGAATGGTGTGGATACATATTCCTTGTACATTTTCTTTTTCTCCTGTAATTTAGTCTTGTCACCTTAGAGCTTGTTTATGAAAGATTGAAGAAAACTATAAAATACATAAAGATATATACATTTAAATAACAAAACAAACATAGCTGCAGGTCTTTGGTCCCAGGGCTGTGCCTTAACTTAAACCAATATTTTCTTCTATTTTTGCTGCATTTGAAAGTAAGGTAAAGGAGGGGCTAGGGCTGGGCATTTTACCACCGAGCTTTAAATGGATTGGATCACAGCCAATTACTGAATTTCACACTACCACAACCAACCTTTGGGTGATTCTGAGACCCTTACAGGATACGAACTCCTTTGCCACAGAGCAGTATGGCTTCTGTAATGGCTTTTCCCTTCTCCATTTATCAGTAGCTACTTCAGTCAGTTACCTTTGGTGGCTTCCTACTTCCAAACACTACTAGGAAAATATATTCCTAGCCAGTGTTTATAAAGAAGTCTTCTTGACTTCTCCAGCACAAAGGAAAATGAGCCTGATCTGAAACTAGGTCATGCATACCAGTTAGTCATTTAAGAGAACCACAAAATTTTTCACCGTAGAATTTTTTCCTAATAAAGTTCACCCAAACTTCCTCATCTGTATGTAAATCCACCTATTTAAACACAGAGATTTGCATGATAACATAAAGATTTCACCATTGTCTAGAATTCATCCTTCACCACTTAAACAGGTAGGTTCCGCGTTAAGAATGTGACCCATTCCTGAATGTGTCTTTAAGTCAAATTAGTAGGCAAGTCCAAACAAGTGCAAATGATTCTTGAGCCAAAAACAAACAAAAGGCTTTACAAGGATCTAAAAGCTGCACGTGCCACAAGTGAGGGCGATAATAAGCAAAATATCTGTTGCATGTTGGGGTTGGTACAGTCATTTCAACATGACGACAAACTTACATCATCTTAAAGGGCAAGACTAATTGGAAGTTCGTTACCAGGAAATGCCTGTACTACCAATTGAAAAATGTTTCCCTTTAAATCTAATAGCCAGCTCCCATAAGGTAGGAAGAATTCCCAGTGGATTATGTGGAAACTCACCCCAATGCTGCCCAGCCCTTGGGACATGTGACTTCAGTGAAAGGAGAGATTCTTTTTCTAGGAAAAATGAGCCTCCTATTTTTCTTTTCTTAAAATTTTTCTTTTTGACACAAACTGTAGATTTTAGCAGCCCTGGCCCAAAGGAATATGATTACTTTTGTTTTAAACAGTATAAAGGGGACACTATAATAACAAAGAAGACATCCTTACTGATTTATTTTACATTTTCTTTCTTTTGGTATGTTTTCAGCATAGTACCTGTGTGTGAACATTACAGATGATTCTTTTAGCAGTTTCTTAGCCTCTCTTCAGCCCATGTGGATAGTACTGTACATCAATACCTTCATATGAAATTTTTATATGCAGTGGAAAATAAAAGCATGGGTTGATTCTGCCTATTCATGACTCGGTCTTTTACAAATAAAAAGTTGGTTCATTTTATATTGTAGTCTAATCAGCATAAGTTTTATTCTGGTAA